GGATTGCTTGGCAACAGTGGACTCTGGATAGGACAGTGACTGATGGAACTAGAGCATGTGGTGGCATCAGCTGACAGCTGCCTCAGTAGCTCTTCAGTGGCTGGGGACCAGGTGGGCAGGCCAGGTGACTCCTCTGGGGCATGGAGGCCAGCTACTCCCTCAGCACTGCCACAAGACGTATGGCCTCCAGTCTCTAACTCCAGCTGCCCTAACAAACACCTTGTGTCCTCAAGACAAACTAATACCTTCAGGCTGACACATAGGGCCTCACACACCTGGGAGCCTTAGGTCTCCTTAAGATGACTGCAGTCTGATTTCATAATTTATTTTTCTTATTTGCTGCCAAGGACCACCCACACCTGAGTAGGTGATTAATAAGTGGTTGCTTGTAGGTTTGTTTTTCACAGTCATATGGGCTAACAATTCTGAAACTACTTTCTGGGTATTCTAACACTAAGAAAGTAGGTCACTTGGAGTCAGATTTCTCATTGGAGAAAGAAGTTGCAAATGTGGAAAGGGAGAAGGTTAGAATAAACCCTATGGTTCTGGGTTGAAATTGGAGGTATCAGTATGAACTCATTTTTAATACAGAGATAGAAACACATAGAGATATACTGTTGGTTTTTTGGGTTTTTTTCCCCCTTAGATCTGACCATCCCAGTAGCAATGTAATAGAAGGGTATCCCAGTAACAAGGAACACACCTAACACCCAGATCCTGGTTTCTGAATATCAGACTCCACCAAAAGGAACAAGGGCTCCTTGGAGAAATGGCCTATTCCAAGGCTGGTACAGCGAAGATACAAGATGAACCTGGAATATCTCATTACAGAAAAGAAGTAAGGGCCCAGATTATGATAGGGATATGGCCCAAGAAGACAGAAGCCAATTTGAAGAGGTTCCCAAGGCCAAATCTAAAATAATTTGAGGGCCAAAATAATGGTAGTAACCAACCATAACTCATGGAATAAAATAAGAGTCTGAGTCTATGATGACATGAATAATAGACAGTAAGGGAAAACTCAGAGTTGAAGGACTGCATATAAATGTAGGGAGCAGAATTGGAAACATCATCGGCAGACGAAGATCATCCATGGATCTAGTGGTTAAGTCTGACAAGACAAGAAACAAGCTATTTGTATAGTCTCACAGGATCAACCCAGAAAACATTAATTATACACAACAAAATAGTCTACAGTGGATAAACCTGGGCAGACACTTTGACCAATGGATTTAAGTCATCACCAGTAACGAACCAACAGGCACCTCGAGGCTCCCGATGTGCACTGGGAAGGACACATCATCACTTTTCTGGGCATTCCCACCAAAAATGCATGACCCGAATCTAAGCCCAAGAAAGCATCAGTCCGCCAAAGGTAGATTCATGTTCTACAAAATAACTGACCTGGCCTCTTCATAAATGTCAAGGGCATGAAAGACAGACTGAGGATTCATTCAGGTTAAGGAGGCCAAAGAGGCATGGCAACAAATGCAGTGTGTGGCTGGACTGAGTCCTGGACCAGAAAACAGTGGTTTTCTTTTGCTATAAAGGTCACTGTTGGGATAATTGGAAAAATGTAATAGGGTCTGCAGATCAGGTAAAAACAGTGGTATACCAACGTTAGTTTCCTGATTTTGATCACTGTATTGTGGTTATGTAAGAGAATCCCTTGTTTTTTAGGAAACAGACACTAAAATCTTTAGAAGTAAATGCATATATTTGCAATCTTCAAACAGTTTATACACATCGATACAGACAAGGAGAGAATGAGAAGATAAGATTAATTGGTAAAATGTTACTATTGGGGAAACTAGGTGAAATGGATGGAAATTTTTTGTACTGCTTTTGCAGCTTTTCTGAAAGTCTGAAATTATTTCAAAACCAAAGTTTAAAAGTAGAATAAATGTTTGCTGGATAAGGCATGAGGAATTATGTAGCATAGTGTGGGGAATTAGTAGCCATTTAGGGTGTGGTGGTCATTATTTGAGAAGTGGGTACCTTGCAGGAGCCATGAGTTGCCCCTTAACTAGATTGTTCTTGGCCAGAGCTTTTCAAACATTCCTGTGCATGAGAATCACCTGGCAAGCTTGTTCAGTGGAGGCTCAGGTGCAGGTCTGGGGGGATGGGTAGAGATTCTGCATTTCTAACATGGTCCGGGGGCCACTGATGCTGCTTTTCTGCTGGCCCCGGTGTCACCCTTTGGGTCACAAGGGGGCATAGACAGGTGGGATGTAGACCACAAATTCTGCAGCCTGGCTGCCCGGTAGGACCCTGAAGGACCAGCTTTAATTGATCCTCCCAGGTGATCCTAATGTGCAGCCAGTATTAAACCTTTACAACCTTCCCTGTCTCCTTCCCGTCATCTCAAATTCAGACCCTAAGTCTGAATAGTACCCTAGCTTCCAGAGCTACACTCGCCGCTGCTGCTGTACTCCCATCACACACTCAGAAGCTGGAAGGGTCTTTCTGATCCTCCACGGTTTAAATGTTTGTGTGCAGGTTACGCACAAACTCCTCACAGGCACAAAGCCCTCTGCGATGTGCCCACAACCTACTTTTCCTAGCTGCTCTCCAGGGCTCCCCCCTTGATGCTCTTCTCCCAGAGGCTCATGTCACCGTCTTGCAGCTCAGGCTCCACCTTCACGCATTTGCATTTGTAACCACACACACAGCATTTGTCTCAGGTCTCTGGCCCCCAATCCCCGTCCCAGGTTAAGAGCCACCGCTTGGTTCCTTCCTCCATGGGAGCCTGTGCTTCAGAAGTCACCGATTTCCCCTCTGGCTGGGCCCACCTTGGGGCTCATTTTTCTCCATGGGAGAGAGCTGGTGGCTCAGACTGGCTCCCCTCACTCAGAACAGGGGAGCAAGCATCTCTGCAGCTGAGATACAGGTGACCCTGTTCCTGTTCACATAGGACGGGGCTCAGCAGCTGCTGTACCTGGGGAAGGGCAGAGCAGGGACAACCTGGGTGTTGGCCGGGAGTTCCAACCTGGCACCCAACTCCCCATCCCCTGTCCACCTCCCTACCCTCCCACGGCTCACCCTCCCTCCTTCAGCCCCACATGTGCCTCGGATCTGAAGGACCTGAAGAAAAATAGGTCACAGGGAGGTGCCCCCTGGGTTGTCCCCTAGAGGGGAGGGCTTGGCCTAGGAGAGAAGCCACATTTGTTAGGAGCTGAAAACCAAACTTGAGAAAGGGACCTGGGAGGCACAAGGAGACCATCCCCTTCCCCAGTCCTCCTACCTCCTTCTGGAGTTCTCCCACCTCCACAGCCAGGCCTCTCACAGGGCACCCCCTCTCCAGGCCTCACTTCACCGGAAAAAGACTTCCTTCTGATCCAGCACCGCCCACCGCCTCACGTGCCCTGAGCCTGGAGCCAATTCCTTTTAATACGCTTGGCTGCGCAGGGATGGGCTGCAGTAATCATGAGGATTAGGGCTGCACCTGGGCCTCAGTTTCCAGGAGAATCACAGCTGGACTCTGAGAAGGAAGCAAGCACCCCTGGCTCAGAGCAGCTTCAGGAGGGCCAGGGTCAAGTCCCCAGGGGCTTCTGAGAAAAAAGACTCATCCCTGCCTCTGGCTCCTGCTTAGCTCTTTGTCTCTCCCCTGGGGACGGATGTCTGGGTGGAAACTTCCAGGAGAGGCTCATCCCACCCTCATGAAGGGAAGATGGCCTTCATCCTCAACAGCTCTTGACGCTTTGCACCCTTGGTCTCCCTGCAGATCTTTTCGCCTGGGTGTTTCCAAATTTCCAACCCTACTGAGTTCCAAAGAGAGAGGCAGAAACCTGGGAGCAGATATGAGGTAGAGCCCTAAAAGAGATGAACACCCCATTCCCAGATCTAGGAATGTCCTCCCCACTTCATCCCATCTCTCTCGTTTCGGGCCCCAAGTCCCTCCAGGAAGGAGCTGTCCTCCTGATGCCAGAGCCCCCACTGCTACCTGCTTCTCTGTCCTCCAGACTCCCTTGGGCTGCCCCGTGCAGGTCAACACTTGTCCCCTCACCTTTCTGCCTCCAAGGCCGCCTCTGTTTCCCCAGTGGCTGTAAGAACTATTTGCCAGGCAGGTACTTGCCCACTTGTTTACAATAACCATAATCTTCCTATCTCCAATCAGCACCTCACAAATAACTTTAGGGTCACTCTTGGGGATAAGAGGCAATTTGGATGCAAACATATTGGAGTTTGAAATAATTAGAGGAATTATGGAAGAAATAAGTAAAAATATTTGAAACTGAGGCTATCTTAGAAAATCCAAAACATATATACAGTCACTGTGTATATATTCTCTTACATCTCCAGGCTAGTCACTCACTGACTAGATCTTCCTTCTCTTTGACATTTTCTCCCTGTTGTACCCAGCCTCTCACATCCATTCCATTCATCCCCAGTCAACACATTATGTGGTTTTTCCATGAGTCAATTTTTATTGGTTTTTGAAGTAATGAATTATTGGCATAAGGCTCGATGGGTTTCAAAGCAATGACAGAAGGAAACTACATCATACAGGTAGGTGGGAAGACCCAACAGGAAAGAATCCCAGAGTAGCTGTGACCCTCATCCGCAAGCGCTGGGTCTTGCCTGTGAGGATCTTGCAGCCAGGACCCAGCCCAGCTGAAATAAACTGCATGCACCTCAAGATGACTGAGCCATAACTCAGGGGATCGATCTGACGGGGTGCCCCAGTTCTCTCTCCAAGACAATCACTTCTAGCCTTCTTGGAACCTTCTTCCAGCCTTAAATCTTTGGCAGCAATAACCGCTTGACCACCACGAGGACTCTCCCTCTCACTGAGATGGCCAGCCTGTTCTCCCTCACCTGTGCCTTTTCAGATAGAAGCCTCCCCCACCAGCGGCAGTTTAAGGCCCCTGCAGAAAGAGGAGGAGGCAAAACCCAGAGGGCTGGCAAAACCCAGTGACCCCAGTGAGGATATCTGCCCTTCCCCTCCATTGTGGTGGGTCTTCCAACCAATGTTTGGGGGGTAAAGAAAAGGGGGCTTCTCAGTAGGAGAGCTGCTGTCCCCCCTCCCCTGAGAAGGGCTCCTCCTCTATGAGCTCCAGGTCGAACTCATCTTCCAGGGACCCTCCAACAGGCAGGAGCCGGAACTTCTTCCCCTTCAGGGTGCACGTGCGATGCTCGAAGTCCAGGACGGCATTGTGGTCCTGGAGCACATCGGTACCAATGATGGCTTCTTCAGCACTTGCATTGGCCACTAGGAACTCTGCCTTCAGCTTCAGCTTGCCCAGGGACACCACTGTATCCCAAATGCCCAGGATCTTCATTTCAGCCCCATTGGCCACTTTTACCACATTCTCAAAGGGCCGCAGAGTGTCCAAGTCACCATCTGTGACCTCCTCCCACAAGTTGGGGTGGACCACAGAGACCTGGGCCCCCGAGTCCACCAGGAACCTCACGGGCACTTTGCCAATTTTCCCCTTGAGGTAGTAGCCCTTACCCATGCTGTTGGCAAAGACGATCTCCTTAGGCAGGTGGCTGTGGGTGGCCTCAGGCCCCCCGAAGGCCTTCAGGAGGGTCTCTTTCACAGCCCCATAGTCTTCCTGGTCCTTGGGGCTGAGTCCACTGTAGACCTCCAGGGCATCTCCCCTGAGGGACTCTTTCAGGAACCTTAGTTTGGTGACATGGTCCCAATGGTTGAGGTCATTGATGGCCTCGAAGCGGTGCAGCCAGAGGTGTGGGGCTACGTTGGCTCCATCAAAGGGCTCCGGGATGAAGGCATGCTCCTGACGGTCCTCCCGGCTCCTGGCTCCACTCTCAGCCATCCCTCTGCCCTCCTCTGGAACTGCAGCAGCAACCCACACCAAGTAGAGAAAACCACAGAGCAGTGTCGGCGCAATCACGCTGGAGAACAAGGCCTCTCTAAGCAGAGTGTTGTTTGGTGCCCGTCTGGGGCAGGCAGAAGGGACTGGCGCAAGCTGGCTGGCTGACTGACTGCTGGACACAGAGGCAGGCAGCTGCGATAGCCTGCTCACTCTGCAGAGCCTTTTTGATGCCTAGCCTGGGCCCCCAGGGCTCCCCATTCTCCTTTGTTCTGGAAGCCCCGCCCTTGCTCATCCCCGCCCTCCTGCCAGCATCCTGCCCAACGAGCAGGATCAGTGCCTCACCCTTCTGCATCCATCCTGGGACTGGTACAGGGCAGCCCACGGTGCAAGAAAGTCCATCCTCAGTCAGAGGGGACCTACTCAGGTACCCTCCCCAGCCTGTGTCCCAGAATATACAGATGAGGACACGGAGTATGTTATGACATCCAGGTATCTGTCCTCAGCTGGAGAGGGAAGAAGGAGGGGAGGCAGGGACCAAAGGCCCATCAGCTTCTAGGCTGGGGAAGCCCCTTTTCCCTCAACCCCAAGTGACCACTTTGAATGGCTAAAGAAAAGGCACATGCATTCACTAGGCTCCTACTTTGTGCACAGCACGGGGTGGGTAGGTGTTTTTCCTACATTCTAAACCAAGCTTGGAATCCCATAAAATTCTCCAGAGAGGCAGAGAGAGGACAGTCCCAGAATCAACAATGCACAGAGATTGTTTTTTAAATGAGGGGACACACACACAAGCATTTGCCATGAACTCAACTGCTACAGTCATTTTCCCTCATTCATCACATCCGATCCAGAGTCAGCACTTTGTGGGGGACCAGACCTCAGCCAGAGCAACCTTGTTAAGGCCCTAAAGTGGGTTGGTGCCAACCCTGAACTTCTGGGAGGGTACACTGGGATCCAGATGGGCTCCAGTTCTGGGCAGACCCCATCCTCTATGCCACTAGTATTGTCTCCTCCCCTCCTGTTCCCTCTCACCTTCCAGGAACTTTCTAAGAGAGCCCCTTCCCCAAGTGCTACAGCCCTCCTTCTCCCCCCTCACCTGCTCATTCATGGAAAGAGCAGCCAGAGAATCTCACTCCCTTATGTTCTGAGAAGGGGAAATGTCCACCATGTTGGCAAAACCAGTGGTGAGGTTCTGGAAGGCTTTGGATGGAGGAAGTTGGCTGTGTGATCTCTTGCTGAGGAGGGCAGGCTGCCTTGGGCCACCCCAGGGATTCCCAGAAGGCAGATCTGTGAGTCCTAGGGTTGGGGCCAGTCTGTGCAGAGAGACTGGGGCTATGGAAGTGGGGGGGGGGACCCACTTTCATGACCCCATTCAAATGGTCAAGGGGTCAAATGAGCCCTCCATGGAGTCTTCTACTCTGCCTCTCACATGCTCACTCCCGGCCAAGCATGTGTTGCCGTGCGGTGTGCTGGGTCATTCGTAACTCTGTCTCCTGCAGTGACGTGGAGTGTGACGTTCACAGAAACCAGACACATATGACCATCTCCATCCTCCATAGAAATTTACTCTCAGGTCAGCAGGTGTTCCCTGCTGGTCTCCAGGCCTGGCTGAGTGCTGTCACCAAACAGGAGGGATTAAGACAGGAAAGGAGCAGGAACAGCAGAACACCTGTAGCTCTGGGCTGTTTTTCCTGGACCAGAGCCTGTTTCTCATCGGCTCCCTGTACCATTCATCACCCAGTGTCTGGCTGACTCCCAGAGGACCCTGGCCCCAGTCCTGCCTCTGGACAGTCCCAGGGTCCCTGGCCATACAGAAAGATATGGCCCTGCTGCTCTCTCAGCCCCTTCCACCTGACACAGTGAGCTAGCAGAGAGGCAGCTGGGTCAACACCTCTCATCACAGCTGCCTGGCTAAGTAAGGTGGGGCCCTTGTACCATTCCAGAAGCCCAGAGGAGGGAGAGATGGAGTCACTGGGAAGGAGTCAAGTACAGGTGGGTCTCTGAGAAGATTGCACAATGAAAAACCTGCACCCAGAGAAATGGCCTGGCCACAATACCAGGAAGCCCCTTCTACAAGTGGACTTTTGTGGATAGATTCCCAACCCCTGGGATGGGTGTTGTGTTGTTCTGTGGTTCAGGGAACTGACCTAGTGGCTTCCTGGCTACCTGGTGTTCATCACCCTGCACACCTGGTCTCCTGGAAGTGGGAGTGTGTGTGAGGCAGCTGCATGTGACTGAGGGAGGGGAGAGGCAGGGTGGCTTGTCAGATGGCAAACTGCTAGATGCTCCAAACTAGGGCTTGTCAAACCATTGTGGTTGGCATGGAGTCAGACTTCCCCACTGCTCCAGATTAGAAATAGGTAGTCCCTGGGCCTTGGGCTGTGGCACTTCACTTGACTAGGTTTGCTGTTCACTTTGGCAAAGTCATTTCACATCCATCACCTCAGCAGCATCATGGTAAGCCGCAAGGCTGACCAGCCAGCCTTCCCCCAGGACTGAAGCACAAGGAGCATGAAGGGCTAAATGGCCTGTCTCAAGCCTGGGCTCATGCACTGTCCAGTGCGTGCATAACATTTTGCAATACAGCCAGGGAAGTGGGAGTCTGGGCTCAGAGAGGCATGCGGATGGGTCCTGGGGGCTTGTGTTGTTGACGGCCTCTGGTGGGGACAGTGAGCTAATGGGAAGTGAGAGCTGGCTGTTAAATATTCAAGAATTCTGTAAGTCAGTTGTTAAACCAGTGGCAGCTTGAAATTGGACTTGGTGGGAGTATTTACACCACAGACATTGGAAGATTCTTAACAAGGGCTTTTTTTTTTTTTTTTTTTTCCTGGAAAGCCAGCTGGTCATCACACCCCTGCATGGGGGCCTTTGTCACTCCCTCTCTCTGGGGCAGGTCAAACCCCATGGCCAGTGATTAACAACTTTATCGAAATCTCTACTCCTGCTCAATCTCTTGGGCGGGAATCCCCTTTCTTGCCTACCTTGCCCTGTACACTTGCCCAAACAACCTTTACACTCCTGGGTCCTTTGGCTTAAGGCCATTGGCCTTCCTCAGGGAGGCCCTCCAGGCATTCTGTTCACACAGTCCCATCTGGAATCCCCAGGACAGAAGACCACAGGAGTCTCATGGTTACTAGGGGAGCTGGAAGGGCTTGAGTTTAGGGACCGGTCTCTGGCTAGGATCAGGAACATGGTGAAGTAACTTCTCAAATTCCCTTAACCCTTGGGAGAAACCATACCTGGAATACCCCCAGGTATGAGTGGAATACCCCACTCAAGGACCTTGGAATTGCTATACTAATGCTACAATGATGAGTTAAACCAGCTGGGGCAGGCCAGGTGCCATTGCCTCCTCCCAGAACCTAGGAAATCATCGCTAATTATTGACAAGTATAGGTATTGGGGCGGGAACACCCTCTTTATTATCCATTAGCATCTCCTGAGTGTGCTCTGAAGCAGGCACACCATACTTAACTGGAGAGGAGGTAAATCAGGGCAATAAACAGGAAGGACTTAAGGAGTCCCCACCCTCCACACCCCCTCACTGAGAATTCGGGGCTGTGAGCTCTGCTGCCCCAGTGCTGCCCCAGCAGAAGCTGATCCCCTTTGCCATCTCTTCCCCACAGGTAGTTGTTCTATGTGGCACAAGATCAGTAGAGGGCCCATCAGGGCTCCCAGGAACTGAAGCCGTTGGTGGGCAGTGGGGGGTCTTGGAGGGGGCGTGCACATCCCCAGGAGACTATTTTTAGCGAGAAGCAGAGAGACACCTGATGGTACCCGTGATGAGGTCCAGACTGAAATGTAAGGAGGATCAGGAGATGCGCAGGCCACCTGCTATAGCTCCTCTCTGGGCTGCCTCTGGCTAGCACCATACACTCCCCAAATCACCCCAGGAACTAGATGGGGAAAGAGCAAAGGGATTCAAGGGCTTACCAAGGTAGTAAAGGAAGGCTGAGGGGAGAAAGGAGGTGCACACTCTCCAGCCAGGGATCGTGGGCGTTCAACCTACAACGTCACATGGGGCTCCACGCTCAGAAAGGCCAAACTCGGTTTGATGTGCTGCTGCAGCTGTCTTGAAATTCCCAGTAATTTTGAACAAGGGGCCCTATGCTTTCATTCTGCACCAGATCTTGTAAACTATGTAGCTGGTTTTTTCTCCAACTGATCTGACGGAGACTTCTTTTACATACACACACACTCACACACACGACACAAACATATACATACACACACATACCCCTTACCTCACACCACACATATATAGGCTATCCACAAAAAAACACTCCCTGCACCCTGTACACACATTCTGTAGTCCAAAACCTATACCTATACCATCCATACACAGTCACACTACAGTTCTTATTTCAAAACAGCTAAGAAATTGTGCAACTTGCATATAGAATTCAGCTCCCACCTTTCATTTCACAGATGTATTTGCACACATATTTACACTGAGTATTAAAATCATATTTATTAGAGGCATCTGCTGTTTATTAGCCTCTGGGCACACTTGTTAGCTCAGAGAACTAGACAGGTCCCCATCACCATGGCTTACAAGCTAATGAAAACAGGATACAGATGTTTAACAGCCCCTTTTGAAGAGTTTAAGACTGACATGTATATGCAGACTGACCATGTGAAGCAGTCCCAGTCACAGCCACGCCACTCTGAAAGTGGGTCATCCTGCCCTCTGCCTCCCCCTGACTGTGTGAGGCCAAGGACATGATGTCCTCCCTTCTTCCTCTCACTGGGTACTCACCACCATGAGCTGGGCCCCGACTGCCTGCCCCACTCCTGCACAACCCCCCCAGCCTAGGCTGAGGCCTGGGCCCTGGGGTTGGTGTGGGTGTGTGCATGTGTAGGGTGGGTGGCACAGCTCCTAGGAGCAGGGGCCACAGCTGCTGCTGGCACTCTGCTTCAGTGGGGCATGGCATCAGGTCTTCAAGCTGAAAAGAAGGGCAAAGATGTGAATTCTGCACAAAAATCTAATTAGGGATTCAGATCAGAGACCAAGAGGGTCTGGTGGGCTCTGACCAAAGCAGGGCATATGGGGAAACCCAAGACACCAGCAGGTTCCTATTTCCAAACCACAAACCCTCAGACTACAAACACCACTGTTTGGAGCAGAAACTACCCAGCACTCACACCAGTCATGGCCAAAGGTACTTAGGAAAGATAGTTTTTCCTTGACTGGTCCCCCTTCTTGGTCCCACTGCCCTGACTAAACGGTACTTCTGCCTGTAGGGCCCTTCCCCAGTTCTCCACTGTTCCAGAACTTCTTTTTTTCCCATTTGAATTGCCCTCCACCCTCCTTTGCCATCCAGTTCAGAAGCCCTCTAAGAGGAAGTCACCCAGCTTAGCCCACCAGTTGAACCCACTCTGTCAACAGGCAGCAAGATGTCTGGTGCCAATCGTGGAGGGTCCCGAAGAGTTGTGGAGGTGTTTAGGGAACAGCCATCTCAGGCCCCAATGCTACTGCCAGTCCTCCAGGCCCAGGGTTGGGGCCAGGCCAACCAAGAGTTAGAACAAATTGCTGGCTAACTCCCTAGAAGTCCAACGTGCCAAAAGTGGTTCTTTCCCTGTTTTTATCTTTCAATCAAATATGAGTATCACTTAAGATGTTCTCAAGGCCTCCCTGCTCCCCTCCTCACAGCCTGGCCCTCCCAGTTGGGTTCCCACCTTCTTCCCAAGTCCTGATGTCCCCACCCTAAACCAAGCCCTCATCTCTTCCTGTTCTGATTTCTGCCACCCTCACTCTGGGCCTAGGGGCTCCACCTGGCCAGAGGGCCTGGCTCTAAGGAAAGACCCTCTGCAGACCCCTACCTCTTCTCCCATCTCCATGGTCCCCTTCACTTAATTGAGCGAGAGAGTAGGACTTGTAAGACAGTCTAAACAGCTCTGGGGGCATTGGCCCACTTGTGACAATCGCCCCTGAAATTTATGAAATGTTCGGGCAATCAAAATATACAGATTGGGTATTCTCCAAATACAATTGGGCTTCTAATGACACCAGGAAACTTGGTTTAGAGCTAGATACATAGAGGACTTTGGTCCAACTTAAAATACCTCAAAGACAGCTTTGAACTGATCCTGAAATAGTTTTAATTACTGCTAATGATAATTGGTATTGTGAACAATGCAAAGCCTCAGAGCAAGGAACTGCTTCTTGTGAGTCCACTGCCAACTTAGATCTGCTCCCAACTTACAGAAGACAGGGGGACAAACAGGGGGCACCTTCCCTCTGGCATGTTGAAATGGTATCTTTTCTTTACCATCTGGAAGAAGTAGGGGGAGGCAGGAAAGGGAAGGAGGGAAAAACGGCAGAGCCCTAACATGTATAGAAATCCCCAGGTTATTGGTAGCGGCAGTAACATACATTTATTGGGCACCTATTGTATTCTAGACACCATGCTGGTGGGTGTAAATTAATAAAAGGCAAGAGTCTGCAGCATAGATGGACTGGGCAATGCCAAATAAATGGGCTGATTCAGTTCCATACATATTTCTTGAGGCCAGCTGTGCCTTACGTTGAGATGAATCAGCGGAGCCCTACCCTCCGAGAGTGCTCAAGTGAGTTGGGGAGAGAGGCTCAGACACAGATGTCCCAAATCCAGAGATGAGTGTGGGAGGCAGGCAAGATGGTGGTTCAAGGAGCACTGGACAACTCATCCCACAGAAATCAACCAATATTACCCAAGAGAAACAAAAATGAGAGGAATGTTAAGAGGAAACCTGAATTAGCACTGAAACCAAGGAATGAGGGCACCCACAAACCACAAACTTGGATCAGTTGTTGCTCTCTGCAGTCTCTGTGGAGGGCTTCGGGGGTGAGGGTCCTGGGACTGAGCCAGTTCATATGGACACACCAATCAGGAAGGTTTTGAGGAATGGGGTTATTTTCTGGGTAAAAGAAGTCCAATTAGAAATATGTACATAAGGGGCACCTGGGTGGCTCAGTCAGTTAGGCATCTGACTTCAGCTGAGGTCATGATTTCGTGGCTTGTGAGTTCCAGCCCCACATTGGGCTCTGTGCTGACAGCTCGGAGCAGGGAGTCTGCTTCAGATTCTGTGTCTCCCTCTCCCTCTGCCCCTCACCAATTCACACACACTCTCTCTCTCAAAAATAAATAAATGTAAAAAAAAAACAGTTACCTTTTAAAAATATATGTACATAAAATCACAGAAAAAAAAGACCGGAAGGAAATACACCAGAAGAGTGATAGTACTTACTTTGGGGTGGTAGGGTCATGAATGATCTTAATTTTCCTCTATATACATTCTGAGAATATATTCTCTAATAAGAAAAACATTATTTAAAAATAAAGAAACTTGTCTTTGCAATTTCTGTAAGCTTAAAATTATTTCCAAATAAAGTTTTCAACCAGGGATATATGGGAAATCTCTCTGTACCTTCTGCTCAATTTTGCTGTGAACCTAAAACTTCTCTAAAAAATCTATTAAACAATTTTTTTAAAGTTTTTAAAAAAAGTACTTACGGGGGGGGGGTCATACAATAATACTGACAACCATTATAATCACTGAAGTCTAATGATAAGAGGGTTCGTTTGAATTACCCACAACTTTTGGGCGTGTTTGGAAATTTTCCACAGTAAAAGGTAAATTAAGTAAACTAAAGCTCTGTGCTAAGACCCTCTCCAGCCTGGTCTGCCCAGTTCTCGGCCCAGAGCCTGCATTCTAGATGTCACCGGTCCAGGGCACCGGAACCACTGGTCCCCCGGGACTGGCAGTCTCAGCTGTGAGTGTCTCAGGATCCCTGCTCAGCTGCAGAGATTCTCAGCTGACTCTTGCCAGCAGGAGTGGCCTGCACACTGGGCCCCAGGCTGTGGGCTCAGCACACAGCCCTGCTCCTCCTCAGTCCCTTCCCTTTCCCCATGGCAACAACACCAGCCTTGCCCCTAGCACACCAGAGGCATGCCCCTTCCTGCCTGTCTGCCCACCTACCCACCCAGCCTATTGCAGGTCTCTCTGTCTTGTCACGGGTTCCCCTCTCTCATCCAAGTCAACGTGCACCCGTGTCTCACATCCTAAAAAAATAAACCCCTCACGTGGTCTTGGTCTATGACCAAGCACTCTCCTTGGTCAATGACTCCTTCTTTCCTTCTTTCCTATTTCTGGAAAGGCTGGCCTACACTCAGGGCATTGGCATGTTGATGGTGGGGCACACAGGGCTGAAGCCCAGCCCGCATCCTCTGGCCAGGCCCGCATGCTGGGATGAGGGGGTTAATCTGCCTGGAGGCAGGGGACCCCTTTCTGATTTGCACAAAGGTGCAGCCCTGCTTCCTCCCTGCCTCATTGTGTTACCCCACTCTCTCCCAAAGCCTCTGGCTCCCGCCCCACCACCCACCTCTGCACCCTTGATGGTGCATCACTGGCCTCCCAAATGGCCACATCCCATGGCTCCTTCAGGGAATTTGGTTTTCTGAAGCATTTGCATGACTGGTTTTCCCCCTAAGTCTTTTCTGCCCCATTGGCTCCTGGGACCCAAATTTCTGGATCTTGTGCCTCAAAGACCACTCCCCTCAGTCTCTCATGAGCTCCTTTCTCCCTGAGGCCCCCTTGATAGTGCTTTCTCCTCACTCTGCACTCTCCCCAGGCTGTATCCCTGGCCTAATCTCTCTGCTCTATTCCAGCTGTCCATTGTCATGCCCACCTATAGGTGCCATTTTCTTTTCTTTTCTTTTCTTTTTTTTTAGTAATCTCTACACCCA